TTTTTAGTAAAATCAAATGTGACCTTGTTCTTTGTAACTATGGCAATGTCTGCCCCGAGACCGCACAAAACACTTTCACTACGAGAGAAAGCGGCAGCCGCTCGGCGATTCCTGGATGTCATCATCTCCATACGATTATTCTCGTGGCCACGACGTATTATCACGTTTCCACGAGTTAATATGTTGTGGCCATGAAAAAACTAGCCTAAGTGAACCGAACATGTCCGCTCCGGTCACCGTAAATGCTTCGTTCGACTTTTCGGAGATCATCTACTCTTCCCTGTGGATAACCTCTGACCTACTTTCTCTACGATCTGAATTTCTGCGTATTGAATTTTGAATATTGAATTTGATGTTCCGAATTTCTTCTTCATCTTGAAAACTTGAAGCTGTATTTTTAAAAACTGGATATTTGCAGTCTAACACTTAAGAACAAAAAATCCGCTGTTTGAAAATACATGTCTATTAAAAAAAAAACTGCCATTAAAAAATCAATTGTGTTAAATTTCAAATGTTCAATATTCAAGTTTTAAAACATCTAAATCAGAACTGTTAAATGCCACATAAAATTCAGTTTTGTTAAATGACACTTGTCAATCATTCAAATTTACACAATTCAAATTCAAATATTTTTGACATATTATAAGCTCCATATGGCATCTAACAATGCTTTGGAAAAAAACAGTTACTCTTAAAAAATAAAGCATATACATAAAACCAAATAGGAAATAAAACAGTTATCGAATAAGCATGTGTCCTATTCTGTGTCCTAAATAGTACACAGTCCTATCTGTCGCCTGAAACATTGGTGTCTCATATTTTAGAGCAGTCAATCAAATCTGTATGTGTGTGAAAATATTCCGATGTAACCCTCTTTGTAATTAGTAAAAATTTCACAACTGTAATTTAATTACACATTTTTTTCTCAGTAACTGTAACAAAGTAGTTACATTTATTTTGTAATTACGTAATTCCATTACATGTAACTTGCTACTCCCCAACACACACACACACACACACACACACATATATATATATATATATATATATGAACATTTTTGTTACTTAATATAAATGCTATCTGAAATTAAATAAAGTAAAAAAACTATTTAGCAAGTTTCCAGAGCAACATTTCTCGTTTTCATTCAGTTTAACTTAAGTACTAAACTAAAAGTGAAATATAAAAGTAGAAAAAAAATTAATAAAAAGAAAAAAAAACTAAAAAGAAAATCCAATTCAAAATATTTTTTTGGTAACACTTTACAATAGTTAATAAATTAACTAAGCATTTGTTACAGTATTTAGTAATTTAAGTAACATTGGCAGTTTGGGTCCATAAACTAATGTTAACAGATGCAACTTTAATAATTTTAATAATGAAAATAATGAAATATTTTTCAATAATGAAAAAAGTTAAATGTATTAAATTATCATTAAGATTATTAAATAGGTCATGTCCATTCAACAATTTCTGAAGCTTCCCTATCTAAATTTTTTTATTTTAATACTTTTTTTCTGAGGAAAGAAAAACATAAGTAATGATAAAAATCCAAAATATGAAATCTCATTATAATAATAATCATAATGTTATTTTTTTTAAACATTACTTTCGTACAGTGAAATATAAATAAATAAAGATGTTATGAATATTACATTAGCTCACGTCTATTTATTTCCAGAGAGACAGGCACTGTCCTGGAGCCCATGAAAAGTGTGTGTGTGTGTGTGTGTGTGTGTGTGTGTCAGGCAGTGTGAATGGAGAACTGATCGCGTGTGTGTGTGTGTGTGTGTGTGTATTGCTCAGGTTTTGCCGAGGCAGACGTGTGGTCTGTTCACACACACCATCTTTCATAAGGACTATCCCGACGGGCCGCAGGAGCTGGAGCGGATCATTGACGGAGGGGAGCTGTTCCTCACCGTCCTGCTCAACCCCGTCAGTCCCTCTTTACATACTCTATACATCAACTTATGCTGTGCTTAGGATCTTACTGTCAGTAGAACTGGGAGATATAGCTATCAAAAATAGGTTGTTATTTTTCAGCCGTTTGATGAGATTCTGTAAATATCTTAATATGTATAGATTTGACCTGATATTACTTAAAAGGGTGTTTTAGTTTTTTTCCAATAAGAGAAACATCAGTGTAGGCTATATTCTAGATTCATAAAAGAACAATACAATACAAATTTAGTTAATAAATGAAAAGACTTGTTGAAATCCAGAAAGAATTATATTTTTCCTCCAACCTTCATGAAAATACAAGTAGCTAAATAATGTGTCTTATTCATGCTTGTTTCATTGGTCTGTAAATAATATGAAATAATTATGAATGATAAAAATAACTGAAATCATTTTGCAATTATAAAAATTATTGTTTTAATATTTATATAATAACATTTATTAATTATGAAACGATCTAAAATATAAAAATTATTACATATAAAATAATTATGAAATAATATTCAATATAAAATAAGGATGTAATTGTTTCACACTTTATTATTATTCATAACTGGCCACTGACAAAGAAACAAGTTTTGAAAAATGTTGATGTTGTAATCAAGACATGTTTTTAATAAATGAAGTCAAGGAAGAATGATATTTAATCATTTTATTGATATAGACCAATGAAACAAATATTAATAATCAACATTATTTACTTGTATTTTCATCAAAGTACAATGAGTGAATAATGAATTCATATTTAACCAGATAAGACAAATGATCTGCAAAACATTTGAAGGAAAAAAATGATGGGTTTTTCAGGGCTTATCAATGTAATTCGTTATTTCATAAATATGAATATATTATGGATATTTTATATGTAATAATTATTTTAGAATTATGAAAAAATATATAATATACAATTTATTTTGAATTAATAAATGATTATAATTATAAAATAACTTAAATCAATATGCAATTATAAAAATAACTATTTTAATGGTTAATTTATATTTTGTATTTGTCATCATTATTTAATATTATTAAAATATAAATATAAATATAAAACAATTACAAAATAATTGTTTCAGGCTCATTTATATTTATATCTAGCCAGAAATACTGCTTAGAGAAACAAGTTTTATTTAAATTTGTTGTTGTTGTTGTAGTAATCATTTACCTATTTGTATTTTTGCTAAACCATTTTTAATATATGACATATACTGGACACTATAAACATTTCAATGTCAAACAAATCGATGAAATCTGAATTTGCTGAATACAGTTCTGAATTGTATTTCAAGTGAAATGGCTTTGATTGGCTGAAGTGTGGTTGTTTCTCAGATTAGCATCTTCATGACACACCTGTCCAACTACGGGAACGACCGTCTGGGTTTGTTCACCTTCAAACGGCTGCTCAACTTCCTGCTCACCTGGACTCACCTGAAACTACAGACGCTTCCTCCGCTGCAGCTCGCCGACAAATACTTCCAGCTGTTTCCGTCGGACGCCGAGCCGCTCTGGCAGGTCTGTGACGACGGCAGTTTAGTCCAAGTGTGATTTAAAACAACAGAAAGTTGTTTGTAGAGGACCAAAATCTAAATCTGCATTTGAAATCTGAATGAAATGAGTCACGATGTGATCAAAAGCAGAACCTCCAGCAGCTTCACTGTGATTGGCTGCTGCTCACCTCTCATTTGCATAAAGCTCCGCAATTCCCGACTTTTTCTCAGCTCTCAGTCTGCGCAACACTTTCTCTCCGTCTCAGTGAAATCTCTCAGCGGTGTGATCTTGTGTTTAGGACCCCTGTGAGGATAAAAGACACAAGGACATTTGGTCGAAAGAGAAAACCTGCGACCGTTTCCCAAAACTGCTGCTCATTGGGCCTCAGAAGACGGGTGAGGAGCGACAGCGCCCCCTGACAGACGCATGCAGTACAGCACACACTCTTGACACTGTTAGAAGCGTACAGTGTTTGTTGTGTCTATTTAAACTACTTTATTGGCATGATTGCGGTTCACTAAGAAGAACCGGTTAAATTGAACGATTCGTTCGCGAACCGGTCATCACTAGCGTACAGTGTTTGTTGTGTCTATTTAAACTACTTTATTGGCATGATTGTGTTTTAAAATATTGTCAAAGCGTACACAGAACAAGTAATGACAAGAAAAAAACAATTAAATTAACTATTTAAAAGTGTTAAAATAAGGTGTTAATATATATATATATATATAAATATAATATATATAATACTCAAGGCAGTAGATGGTTTTGAGGGTGTGCAGTTGAAAACTGAAATTTGTACCTTAGTTTCTGACAAAAATGACAATTAGTACTTTCAAAAATGTAACAAGTTTTCCAGTATTAATTGCAATTTTTGTTAGAATCTAATGATGACCAATTTCATTAGAAAAGAAATTAGATGGAATTCATTGAGATTACACATTCATTTATGTTACTGTTATTAAATATATTTTTAAATATGTTTAAAAAAAAATTAAACCATATAAACATCTTCATTGATTGAAATAAACATTAACAAAAATAAAGTATAAAATACTTATTTTATTAAAACTAGTTATTGTTATACAGGTATTGTTATTTAAACTTATTTTATTTCAGCTAGTTGCCAAGGCAACATTTTGAATTTTCATTTAGTCTAGCATTTGATTTTAGAAATACTAAAATAAAAAATTTAAAGTACTAGAATAACTGAAACTTTGCAGAAGCGTTGTCTGGCTCCAGGATGGTACGCCACACACCTCTCGCGCTGGCTCGAACACTACCACCACGACCAGGTGCGTGTGTTTAGCAGCATGTAAGACCGTATGTTCTAATTCAGCAGACTTATTCATCATATTTCTTGCATTAAACCCTCACAGATTCTGGTTGTGGACGGCCAGACATTGAAAACGGATCCAGCATCAGTCATGGAGAAGATCCAGACGTTTCTGGGTTTGGAGAATCAAGTCGATTACCACAAGACACTAGCGTGAGTTTGAGCATCAACACACAAATTCATATATGCTTTAACTGTGACGATTCAGTCCCATGCATTCTTCAGGCATAAATCGTTTCAATTAAATACCCTCAAAAATGCTTGTTCAGTGAACTCAAATCAAGGTTAGTTTAGGTCCGTACATCAAAACTAGCACAAGTTCATTTACAGTTAAAACAGTTAAAAAAATATTCATGTAGTCCAGACACAAAATGATTAGGTTACATTCCATTTTACAAATGTAAGTGGATTGAATATAATTAAATTATGTTGTGACAGTTCAGCTCATTTTAACAAAAGAAATTGAACAAGCAGCAAAAACGAACTTTTTGAGTGTGGGAAAATAAAACCGTTTCTGTTTTTGAAACAAGTTTCTTCTGCTCACCAAGGCAAGGCTGCATTTATTTGATCAGACGTGTAGTAAAAGCAGTAATATTGTGAAATATTATTTCCAAGTAATTTACCTGTTTTTCTATGTGAATACATTATAAAATGTAATTTATTGCTGGGATCAAAGCTGAATGTTCAGCATCATAACTCCAGTCTTCAGTGTCACATGATCCTTCAGAAATCATTCTAATATGCTGATTTACTGCTCAAGAAACATTTCTGATTATTATCATTGATGAAAACAGTTGTGCTGCTTCATATTTTTGTGGAAACAGTGATACATTATATTTTTCATGATTCTTTGATGAATAGAAAATTCAAAAAAAGTTTAATGCCTCCTTAGTGTGAGTGTTTCTTGAGCAGCAAATCAGCATATTAGAATGATTTCTGAAGAATCATGTGACACTGAAGACTGGAGTAATGATGCTGAAAATTCAGCTTTGTATCACAGGAATAAATTACATTTTAAAACACATTCAAATTGAAAACGGCCATTTTAAATAGTAATAATATATTACTGTTTTTACTGCATTTTTGATCTAATAAATGCAGCTTTGATGAGCAGAAGAGAGTTCTTTCAAAAGCAGTCTAGTTTTAGTAGTGACATGCAAACTAATAATTGGCCTCAATCAGCGTCTAGAACCTTTCATTACAAATATCAGGAATTTTTGCAAGCTACAGCATCATGCGGGATGTTTTGATCTCCTTTCTACACTTTTTCCACATTATGTTTTGCAGGTTTGACCCAAAGAAAGGCTTCTGGTGTCAACTGCTGGACGGAGGAAAGACCAAGTGTTTAGGGAAGAGTAAAGGACAGAGATACCCGGACAAACAAGTAACTCTTTTCACTCTTTATTGAGTTTATTGTAAAAAAAAAAACAAGGTAGAGGAAATGCACATTCACAGTCTGTCTCTTTTCATCAGTCGCAGGTGTTTTTGAGGAACTACTACAGAGATGGTAATATCCAGCTCTCTAAACTGCTGTATAAAATGGGTCAGGTTCTGCCCGGCTGGCTCAGAGAGGATCTGCTCAACATCAGGTAACAGAGGCTCTCGTTTGGTCAACAGCACAAACGTCTGGAGTGCCATAAGATTCTCAGAGTCCACCGATGGACGTACAGGAGGAACAAACCACCTCTGACTGGAGCTTGTTCTTACCTAGATGAGTTTGAACTAAAAACAGATTTAAAGAACTGACTTAGTACTTTTAAAACGTGCTGATACTAATTTTGTAATTATTTAAAGTCCAGTATTTATGAACTGACTTTTATCTGTTCTGTTATTGACACTGGATCAGACTGTGCTGAACTAATATGAAGATCATCAAACATATTGCTGCAGAAACAAAGACGCTGAAACTTATATAGTTTTTTTTTTTACTCAACAAATTTGATGCAGACTCGATTTGATTTTATGAAGTCAAAAATTATGCCAACGACCTGTGACGTCTAATATGGACATTTTTGTTTTACTTTTTGTTTTTACATTTTTCACTAGTTCTCTGTTGTTGTTGTTGTTGTTTTTGTGTGTTTCGGTGCAGTTTTACATTTTCTAACGTGGACGTTTACAGGAGTCGATTTACTCACCTTCATGTCGCTTCAAACAGAGGACTTTCTCTCTCTTCTGTGAAACTTTGTTGAGCGCCAAAAGTACCATCAAACATTAGTGCACTATATTCCATCTCTTCAGAAATCATGTGATGCTTTGAGTGACAAACAGATTGAAATTTCAGTGAGTTGTCGTAATTTTATTCATGTTCATTGTATGAAATATCTTCCTTTGTGTTTCACAGAAGAACTTCATAGAGGTTTGAATGACATGAGTGTGAGCTAATCATTGTTTTTGGGTGAATTATCCATTTAAAGTTGCATCTCATTAGCTAAATAATACATAGTTAAATATTAGAGCAAAATAATACATTTCTACTGTAGTGCGACTCCTATAACATGAATTTAGAGTTTAAAGTGCCATTTAAGTGTGTGTGTGTGTGTGTGTGTGTGTGAGAACAGCCTGTTAATGTCATGTTATTTGTTTTATTTTCTCATTGTGGTTGAAACACAAAACTGGTGATTTTATTAAAAGGTAAATGTGTTATTAAACCAATAGTTCACCCAAAATCTAAAATTGTATTTTGTTTGCCCTCAATGTCTTTCGAAACTCATATAACTTAAGTGGAACACAAAATGTTTAGTTTTTTCCCTTCAAATCAGGTTTGATGTCAGTGAAATCAAACAAACTACTGGCTCTCATAACTGCGTTTTCCTTTACTGTTCCTGGCATTTTTATTTATTTATCATTTTTTTTCATAAAGGTCACCTGTCATTTGTGTGAAATTCATTATACGGTAAGGAATTGAATGTTGGGCAGATGATGAAAAAATCACTCATGTGACCTTTGGAAAACCATCACTGTTTTATTACTACAGGGTTTATATTGTAGTGCCCAAAAACCATGGTATTAACAGTTTCTATGGATTATTGATATGGTAATATGAATATATGTGCGCAGATTGAAGCGTCTCTCACTACATGATTCAGAAATCAATTCTCATGTTTTCTTCTTGGACTGAAATCTGACCTGGTCAAACGCATGAAGATTAGAGCAAAATAAACCACACTGTTACTAATGCTGCTGGAGATCTGTGTGCGTGTGTGTGCGTGTGTAATTCTGTGATGTTGTTGCTATGGTTGGTCAAACGCATGAAGATTAGAGCAAAATAAACCATGCTGTTACTAATGCTGCTGGAGATCTGTGTGCGTGTGTAATTCTGTGATGTTGTTGCTATGGTTACACATCTCTTCATCTCCTAAGTGTTTTTTATGAGTTTAAATCACTTATCTATAATAGAGAACATAATATATTATATATAGATCAGTGGTTAAATACATTCATATTGTGTTTTGGCTTGAAAAGCTACAGAGAGTTTTAGATTATTGGGACATTCTACCAGAAACGTACTTTTCCACTTGTTATGATGACAATTACATCTATATATGAAGAGTTTATTTGCAAAAAATTTTTTTTTTTTTAATTTTCAAAAATCATGTTTTTTATTATGTAATCATGTTTTTATTGTGTTTTATTGTGTTAGCTGTAATTATTCGTTATTTTTTAACCTTTTCAAAATGTAAAAGAGTTATGTTTTTGCAAATAAACTGTTTTACTATGGCATGCGTTAAATACATATTATATGCAATAAAGGTAATAAAAAACAACAATACCATTCATTTGTAAGGCAGTGTCACAGGACTGTCATGCCCCTGGGGATGTGACGGGGCCTGATGTGACGGGGCCCGACGGTCGGCCATTTTAAACTCAGCCTGCTAGCATGCTAGCATAAAAACTGTTAACATGCAATCAAGGAATTTCAGTAACTTTTTTAGACATATTTTGGATTTAAAAGATTTTCATTGTTTTCTGGGATGTTTTACCGTGACAGGGCCTGACCCTTAAGCTCGTCCTCCTAAAAAAAAATCATACAAAAACAAGCTTAAAATCATACAATTCAATGACAGAACTCACCCTTGATCAGTGTCAGCTTCACCTCAGTCAAATTATGTCACTTCCTTTGAGTCATACCTTTAAAGGCGCATTACACACATTTTATGTTGAGTTTTATGTAAACGTGACAGGACTGACCGAAAACATGGGGACAGTTGTAAAATAGTATTTATTTGTAGAATTTATGTATAATTTCATGTTTTTAATCAGTTGATGTGAATGATAACAACTTAAACTTGTTATTGATGGAGTTTAGTTTAGCATAACAAAACTATGAAAGCTGTACGGTCCAATTTGGCTGAGGACAAGGACAGGATTTGTAATTTTCAAAAGTGTTTTTAATAAATTAAATAATATCTGAGAACCTAATGAATGACATATTCCTTTACAGAACAACTCACAGAAATCAACCATCAGTCAGTTTTAGACATTTTTTGGATGTAATACTTTTTATTCACTGTAACAAGTCAAGGACAGATAATGTACATTTCTGGTAGAATGTCCCTATTAATGTGAGTTTCTCATGTAAGAGGCTTTTCTAGCGGACCTCTTGAAACCATTAGTTACGGTCAAGGACTTTATTTGTTGGTTTTTAAAATACATTTCATGACACATTTGTGAGGTATACAAATGTTGTAAATTAGGCTAGTGTGTTCAACCACACGGTGGCAGCAGAAGCTTTTAATATTATGAGTATTATGAGTTGATCTCCTGGTGGAAAACCTGTTTAAAACCCGTTTACACCAAAGACATAATTATAATGATAACTGTAAAGTTTAATAATAGCTCTAATTCTATGACAGTAGTGAAGTTCACACCACAACTGTTACTGTAACGATATGGAATCACTTCCAAGTTCCAGAACGATTCTTTCCAGCGGATAAACGATAAAAGCATCGACAGTCAATCAGAAACCACGAGAATTTAAAAAGCGGGGGATTTAAGCGGCAGATTACGTAATAAAATCGATTTTCTTTCTTTGTGACTTTACATCAATTATGTTTTAATTAATTAATTGTTTACTTAATAGACCCTTTTCACAGTGACATCAGCTAACTTCCGCTTTCCCGCAAAGCAGTGTTTCTGTACTTCCGTTATACCTTTACACCGGAGACTTGTGAGAAACACTTGACATATGAAAGGCGTTAGTTAAGACTAATAATGTTATGTACTTACATAATTCGCTCATTTGCGAACGTTTTTCTGCATCTGCTTTAGATGTTAGTGTTTAGTGAAAACAAAATTTAGTTTAGTGAGTAGTGAAAACAAAATTTTCAGCCAGTCATCTTCTCTGATTTAGGGGTGAGGTGTATGGTTATGGTTAAATTTGACTGACTGATATTTTTCCTCATAATATGCTCCAACAACATATCTCTCTTTAAAAAAATCTTGGTCCTCATTTACACATATAGGAAGAAAGTAAGCTTTATGTCAAATCATTCCATCAGGCATGATCCACACTGATGTTCACCTGAGATTAAATGTCAAACCTTTATTTATTCTTCGGAGCATCAGTAAAGCATCACACAAACATTAATATATATATATAAAAACTAGACAAGAAAGGGTTTGTCAAGGCAACTACTGAATGGTGGCGTGACAGCCTTTAAAAAAGTTCATAAAGTTTGAAGGTTATGTAGCTCTTGTGTGATTTGATTCTTGAGCAGAAGAGAGATTGAGTGGAACTGAGCAGAAGTTTGAAGGACACGCAGGAAAACAGATGGTAAGCAACATTAAATGTTTATTAGAAGTTTGTAGCACCACAAAAATAAACTTTTTTTCCTTGTCTCATTCGCCTTATTCAACTTAACTCAAGTTTAGTTGCTGCCTTTAATTTCCATAACCAAATTAGCTGTATGAGTCATTTAAGCTCATAAAAAAAAAATTGGTCAACCAAAAAATGAAAACTTACTCACCCTCAAGCCATCAAAGATGGAGATGAGTTTGTTTCTTCATCAGATTTGGAGAAATGTAGCATTACATCACTTGCTCACTAGTGCATCCTCTGCAGTGAATGGGTGCCGTCAGAATGAGAGTCCAAACAGCTGTGTCCTGTGAACTGAAAAGCTGTGTGTTATTTCTTACAAATACACAGTTTTGTGGTTCACAAGACATTAACTGATGGACTGGAGTCGTGCGGATTTCTTATGGATTATTGTGATGTTTTTTTATCAGTTGTTTGGTCTCTGATTCTGACGGCACCCATTCAGCTCTGCAGTGAATGGGTGCCGTCAGAATGAGAGTCCAAACAGCTGTGTCCTGTGAACTGAAAAGCTGTGTGTTATTTCTTACAAATACACAGTTTTGTGGTTCACAAGACATTAACTGATGGACTGGAGTCGTGTGGATTACTTATGGATTATTGTGATGTTTTTTTATCAGTTGTTTGGTCTCTGATTCTGACGGCACCCATTCACTGCAGAGGATTCATTGGTGAGCAAGTGATGTAATGCTACATTTCTCCAAATCTGTTTTGATGAAGAAAATGTCTTTACAGTGTTCTTTAGTTCATGACTTTCATTTTTTTTTTTATCTCCCTGCTTGTCCGTAAACAAACGTGTTGCTAGGCAACAGGCCCCTGTCTCGTGCTGGTGGTGGTTGTTAACGGAGGGTCTCAGCCAGTCCTGTTTTCCCAAAACACTCCCCTCCCCTTGAACCAGGAGTCTGACAGGCTTTATGAAGGCCACAGCACTTACGGGAATGAATAAAGAACACATTACTACAGTTTGTTTGCACCATTCCTATTGGAATTATTTGTTATTTGGAAACAATCCATCTGGGATCATAAAAGAAATTCTGTAAGAATCAGAAATGATCCTCCTGAAAGTTTGATGCTTGTTGGTTTTTGTTGTTTGAACGTCTTGTAAACCTCTATTTCTCGTATGGGGATCATACTGATAATCATGATAGTCCAACAGAGAACTTATGTTCTAAAAGAATGTTTCCCAACAAAAAAACGATTTTGTCTATAATGTCTCATCTACACATCAGTGTCATTAAATGCTGGCTTTTCTTGAAGTTTCCTACTCCTCAGATATTTCTCCTGAGGAAAAAGACTCTCCTCTAACAACGAGGAGAAACAACAGTGACACTTACGGGAGTTCTCCGCTGTGTCTCATTGAGATTGTCCTCTGGTCATGTGATCTGTTAGAGGGGTGTGATGTGCTATATTGCTCTGTTTTGAGGTGTGTGTGTGTGTAGGGTGTGTGTGTGTCTGGGCCCCTCTTTTTCTTGTTTCCTTGGTCACACTGACGGACATACACACACACACACACACACACTCACTCACTACGGCGGCC